TGGGGGGGGGGTCTGTCTCCTGTCACTGGGACAGGGAGCCCCCGCCCCCCCCACTTCTGCTTTGCTCCTCCGCCTGCAGGAGGGTCCATCCTTCATCTCCTTTGCACGGTAGCAAATGGAGGGAGGGATATGCAGACCAGTGGGAAGCTGTGCAGAGAAGCGTTGTGGGCAGCCCTGGCCGGAGCATCCTCAGCTTGAACCCCTTCTGGGCTGTGGGAGGGTGGGGGAGGGGCTTTTCAGCATCTGAGCCAGCCAGCCCATCCCTGGAAGGAATGGAGCACAGAAGCTGGAGATTCGCAGGCAGATTCTTTGCCAGTGAGGGAGGGCCATTCGAGACCTAGGTCTGGGGGGGAGGGCTTGACTCGTCTCCACAGCCTCTCGGGGGCCCTTTTTGGCGCAGGGTGAGTGGAGCCCCGAAGCCAGCTGTCTGTCCCGGTGCTGCCGGCCAGCCAGATGTTCTTCTGGCAAACGGAGGAGCAGTGAATCGGTGCCAGGGTGGCTCTGCTGCGGCTTCAGAGTGTTTGCGACTAACCCCAGGCTGGGATTGCTGTGGATCAGTTTCCTCCTTCACTGGGCTGGGTATTTTGGAAAAAAGTGTGATGTTGACGGGCCTCCACTGAGTCATGTGCTTCCCCACCTTCCCCGAAGCTTCTCCAAATAAACATTTATCTGGAAAACGGAGCTGGCAGGGAAGAGCTGGGGAAACCAGGATATATTGCCAAGGACAGAGAGGAGGCCTCCAGGCTGCCTGGGAGGAAAACCTCCTTGGCCTTGAGGCTGGGAAGCAGCTGGGGCAGGAATGGGACCCTTCCTTCCTCCCCCCCTCCCTCCTTCCCTTCTCCTTGGCCCTCAGCTCTCCGCTCAACCTTCCAGAGAACTTTCTCCATCTCTGCTGCCTCAGAAAGCATGAGGTGGAAGAGCAAGCAAAGGTTTATATATGTGTAAAGTCTATGGAAGCAAATTTCAAGGGCGACCTACCTGGGGTTGCCCTTGAAGAGCATCTGGGAGCTTCACCTGGCACAGAACTCGGCTGCGGTGGTGGTTAAATGGCACCTGTTTTCAACGTGTTAGGACGCTCCCGCCAGAGGCCTTGGTTCCCAGTCTGCTTCCGGCTGGTTGCCAGCTGTGAAGCCCTTCATGATTTGGGACTGAGGTACTTGTGGGGCTGGGGTCTCCCCCCCAGTCGTTTCTGCCCCATCCCTCCCAGTCTAGCAGGATAGGCATGCTCGGGTCCCCATCGGCCAGGGATTGCTAGTTGCTGGATCTGGGAAATTATTATTACCTTTATTGTACAACATTTGTACAATGAGATTGGCTGAGCCTCCCTTCGTGCACACACCCACACCCAGCACAACTCACAGTGAGGACAGAAGTCCCTCACCCAGTCCCAATCTTATTACACTATGTGACCTTGTTGCACAACACGCCGGCCCCACAAGTCTGTCGTACTGTTGTCAGCATGAAGTTATTTTCCGTTCAGAAGTCTGACAGCCCATCGGTAGAAGCTGTTCTTCAGCCTGTTGGTGCGGCTGGCTATATCTCCCACCTGATGGTAGGAGAGTGAAGAAGTGCTGACCGGGGTGCGAGTCATCCCTGAGGATTTTCCCCACTTTTCTAAGGCAGCGAGCCCTAGTAAGGTCATCTAGTGGTATCGGGGAACAGCCCATGATGTTTTGTGCTGTGCTCACCACCCTCTGTAATGTTTTTCTATCTGCAGCTGTCAAGGCAGCATACTTTATTTTATTTATTTTATTTTATTTATTTTATTTGTCAATTGTTTACAAGATAATAAGTATAAGTATATACATAGTTATGAATACATGAAATGGATACATATAAGAAAAATAAAAGAAACAATAGGACAGGGACGGTAGGCACATTGGTGCACTTATGCACGTTCCCTACAGAACTCTTAGGAAAGGGGTGAGGTCAATAGTAGACAGTCTAAGGTTAAAGTTTTGGGGTTTGGGGAAGAAACCACAGAGTCAGGTAGAGGTTTCCAGACATTGACCACTCTGTTGCTGAAGTCGTATTTCCTGCAATCAAGTTTGGTGCGGTTAACCTTGAGTTTGTATCTATTGTGTGCTCTTGTGTTGTTATGGTTGAAGCTGAAGTATTCATTGACAGGTAGGACATTGCAATGTATGATTTTATATACCACACTTAGATCAGACCGAAGACCACACTGTAGTGCAATGTGAGAGGACACTTTCTATAGTGGACCGGTAAAAGGAAGTCATCCGTCGTTGTTCCACTTTGTTCTTTCACAAGACCCTAAGGAAGTGGAGTCTCTGTTGGGCCTTTCTGGCTACCTGGGTTGTGTTGGTTTTCCAGGTGAGATCTTCGCTGAGGTAAATTCCCAGGAATTTAAAGGAAGAAACTCTCTCCACACAGCCCCCTTGATGTAAAGTGGGGCAGGTTTCTCTCTCTTCTTCCGGAAGTCTAACACCATCTCCTTTGTCTTGCTGACGTTCAGGTGCAGGTTGTTTTCTAGGCACCATGTGGATGGAACATTCTCCTTCTGGAGATTAGGATGGTCCCGACCGCCCTGTTGGCTTAAAGGCCTGGCTCTGGGCCTGGGGCACTGAATGTGCAGGGGGCGGGGGGAGGGGGGGCTGGCTCCTGCCTGTGGTAATGACTGCAACATTTTCCTCGGCTGCGGCTTTGCATTTCCGTTCTTGTAGTTTCGATCGATTGTAATGGCGTTTAATGTTCTGATGTGATTTTAAAGACGGTTCGCTTCCCAGATTCCTTGTCGAGATGGGCCACTATATAAAATGGACCCAATCAATTCCCCCACCCACCCCAACCCCCAACTTGCAAGGAAGCGGGCTCAGCTTCCTTGGGGCTGAGTAGCAGAGTCAGACATTACTTACTTACAGATTAAGAGTTGGAAGGGACCTTGTAGGTCATCTAGTCCAACCCCACCCCCCCACCCCCCAGCCCAAGCAGGAGACCTTACACCATTTCTGACAGATGGCAGTCCAAGTCTCTTCTTGAAAGCTTCCAGGGATGAAGCTCCCACAACTTCTGTTCCATGGGTTGATGGGTTCTGTCAAAATTTCTCCTTATTTCAGGATCCCCTCCCTGGGTACCTGGAAGCTCCAACGCAGGTGGAGGGGCCAAGAGTCGAGGCCTGGTGGCAGTTGTGTCCTGCTTTGTTGGAAGGGTGCAGCCAAGACCTCCTTAAGGACTAGGTGGCCTGGTGATTTTTTTTTCCCCCAGCGCTTCCTTCTGTGAGCTTCTTTGCCAGCCTTCTTGGCCGCCGAAAAGCAGAAAAAAGGGAAGCCAAGATTGTCTGAAGGCCTCCTTCACCAGCATAGCAATAGGGGAGGGCATGGCTGGCCCCTTTCCTCATTCGTTTGCTAAGCTGGGGGGGGTCATTTAAAAGGTTCCCTTCACGCACACACACACACACACACACACACACACACACACACACACGTGCTGGTCATTTCCGGCTCTAGGGGGCGCTGCTCATCTCCGTTACAAAGCCGAAGAAGAGCCAGCGCTGTCCGAAGACGTCTCCGTGGTCATGTGGCCGGCATGACTGAACACCGAAGGCACACAGAACGCTGTGACCTTCCCACCAAAGGGGTCCCTATTTTTTCTACTTGCATTTTTTTTTACATGCTTTCGAACTGCTAGGTTGGCAGAATCTGGGACAAGGAACGGGAGCTCACTCCGTTACGTGGCAGCGCTAGGGATTCGAACCGCCGAACTGCCCGATCGACAAGCTCAGCGTCTTAGCCACTGAGCCACCACATCCCTGGAGGGTCATTCAGGGGCTAGTATATAGTTTGTCTTGGGTCTTTCATATCACCTTGTGGAAAGGAATGTCTTGCTCAGCAATTTTTCTGGCTCAGGGATTCTGGGAGTTGAAGTCCACAGGTCACGAAAAGGGGCCATCGTTGCCAACGTGGGCCATAGAGAGGAGAGAGAGAGACAGCCAGGAAAGTTCAGGAGAGCAGCTCAGCCCTGGGGGGGAGGGAATGTGGGCAGGGCTGGAGGTACAGAAGAGACCCGCCCTAGTTTGGGGGCTGGCTATGAAGTGGGGAGGGGAAATGGACTTTCAGGTTTCAGCATGAGCTGCTTTATTGTAAGGCGGGGGGGTCTCCATCCTCGGCAACTTTGTGTGGGACTTCAACTCCCAGAATTCCCCCCCCCCCCAAAAAAAAGCTGGCTGAGGAATTCTGGGAGTTGAAGTCCACACGTCTCAAAGTTGCCGAGGTTGGAGACCCCTGTTGTAAGCACGTTCACAGGGTCTGGCGAGTCTGAAAGTCCATTTCTCTCCCCTCCCCCGTCCCCCTTACTGCTTAAGAAACAGGGGAGGGTCTCTCTCTCCTGAGCCCCTGGCCCTGCCCATGTTCCTGCTGTTGCCCAGATGGACATTCCAGGATAACACTGGATCCAGTTCCTTGGCATCTGTTTCACTGGCACAGAGGGACCGTTTAACGACAACTGGCACACGGGCAAAAGTAGGGCCAGGCAGGGTCTCTGCCATCTCGTAGGGGGCACAATGCTTAGTTAGAGTGGACCCCTTTGTGCATTGTCATTGGGGGGTGGGTGAGCATGGCAGGTGGCAGCCTGGCAGGTGTGGTCATTCAGCTGCTGGCTTTTCTTGGTGGAAAGGAGGAAGGCCCCACCGTCCTGGGGGCAGCCCGGCTGTGATGGGGGGGGGGGGCCAACTCTTTCCAGGGCAGCCCAGGAGGAATTTGGCTTGGCTGTTTACGGGGTAGGCTGTGCCTTCATGCGAATCCTGATCAGGGCAAGTGCCAAGAAGAAAACCCTGGGAGAAGGAGGGCAGAGAGTAGGGCATTCTCTGCCATTCCTGGTGCCCCCTGGAATTGCAGCTCCCAGGCGTCTCCGCCAAGGGGCCGTGCAGCACCTGGGGCCAGATTGGCTGCTTTGGGGGGAAGGGCAGCCGGGAGTGGGGCATCTTGAGGACGTGCGCTGCCCCTCGTGGGGGTCTCTGGGTTTGATCGCCCTGCCTTTCCCTCCCTCCCAGGTGGTACAAGCTCCACTCCAAGCCGGGCAAGAAGGAGAAGGAGCGGGGCGAGATCCAGCTGAGCCTGCAGTTCACGCGCCACAGCCTGACGGCCAGCATGTTCGACCTGTCGGTCAAGGAGAAGCCACGCTCTCCCTTCCGGCGGCTGAGGGACAAGATGAAGGGGAAGCACAGCTACGACCTGGACTCCTCTTCCGCCATCGTGCCCAGCAGCACTGGGGCCCTGGACGACGACTTCCGCCTGGGGGCCCCCAAGGACAAGGGCCGGGGGAGCTTCTTCTTCAAGGGCCAGCTGCGCCGCTCCTCCCTGACCCGCTCCAGCACCTCCCTGGGCTCCGCCAGCACCCTCTCCTCCGCCAGCAGCCTGGCGGCCCTGGGCAGCGCCGAGGGGGGGGCACCCTCACCCAGCCGGCACAGCAGCCTCTCCACTGACCCTGCCGGTAAGTATGTGGAGGGAGGCCGGGCAGCCGGGGACGGGTGTGCCGGCCGCCCTTAGGGGCCCCCCCCCCCCCCCCGACCCCCGAGTTGCCCCCCCCCCCCCCCCCGGCCTCCTGCTCCCCCCACCCACACAGATGCTGCTGCTGCTCCTTTTGTCCTTCTGAGTCAGAGAACTGAGTTCCTGCGCTGGGTGCCCCGCCCAGGGGAAGAAACGGAACAGCTGCCGGGTTGCGCCAGCAACTGGAAGGTAGCCCCCCTCTGGGTCTCATCTCAGAGGAGGAGGGGGCTTTGCCTCTGGGGGGCTTTTGGGGGGGGGGCTGGGCATAAGAGGAGTTCATGGCCCCCCTGGAGTAAGTCGTCCTCAAAAGAGGCCTGGCATTGGGAGGGAGCCCCCCCCCCTCCGGTACTAAGGGTCTGGGGGTCATTACACACACACACACCCCAGCCAGCTTTTAAGCTGGGTGAATTATTCTGTTTTGGGGGAAAACAACCAAAGAAAGTGTGGTAGCCCTTTTTTTCCAATTAGTTTTTCATTCAAGGTGTCAGGCAGAGGTCTCCACCCCTGGCAACTTTAAGACTTGTGGACTTCAACTCCCAGAATTCCTCATCCAGCCAGCCTCTTCTGTGGCCACGCTATGCTGGCTGAGGAATTCTGGGCGTTGAAGTCCACAAGTCTTAAAAGTTGCCAAGTTTGGGGACCCCTGGTGTAAAGTGTGGGTCACAAAACCTGATTTTAAAATAAAATGTGCCAGTTGGAAAAGGCTGTCCTCAAAGCAAAGGGGATTGTACTCTCTTGTGCCTTTGTGGGGCAGAGCAGCTGGGAGGCTGACCATGTCTTTACTCCTTCCTTCTTTCCTTCCCTCCACCTTCCTCCCTCCCTCCCTCATCTTCTTTCATCCATCCCTCATCTTCCTTCCTTCCTTCCTCCCTCATCTTCCTCCCTCCCTCATCTTCCTTCCTTTATCTATCCCTCATCTTCCTCCCCCCTCCCCCTTATCTTCCTTTATCCCTCCCTCCCTCATTTTCCTTCCTTCCCCTCCCTCC